TCTTGCATAGTGTGTATATCATCATATTTTTCTGTGCTCTCTTCTCTTTCCCCTCACCCCGAGAAGTCAAGGTAGATAGCCGCCCCTCCCTGAGTCGCGTTTTGCCAGAGGTTTCCTTTGTTCAAGGGGAGTTTTTCCTTCCCACTGTTGCCAAGTGCTTGCTCTGAGCCATATTGTAGGGACTGTTGCTGTAAATTGGTGCTATATAAATAAAATTTAACCGAAGTGAACTGAACCAAATTGAGGGCCAATTTTGATTTTCTGCCTTGTCCTTTGCACATAGATGTGTTTCTAGATTCTATGGTGTGGTTTTTTTTTGATGATGTTATGCACTGTAGATAATGAGGTTTTTCCTTTTTTAAAATTTTGAAATTATTCCACAATTTGTGAACAGGCTTTTTTGCAGATTGCTGAAACTCTTCCTCTGTAAGATTCTCTTTTTATAGTCAGTCATGATAGTGACCTGCCGCCAATTAACCACATTAGGTGCAAAATGTTCCTCCAGCTGTTTTTTTTAGTACCACTTACTTTTCTATCCTTTTGTTGTGCCTGTCCAAACTTTTTTGAGAAACAGTGCTACCTTCAAATTCAAAACGAGGCAATAATTTTCACGAGATAGTAAAACATGTTCTATTGTGAATTAAACGTGGGTTTATGAAATCTGCTAGTCATTATATTATGTTTATACTGCCATTTTACACAATATTTAGAAATTATGGTTATAATTTAGAGTATGTGTTCTGCCAACAGAGTAAACATAAGTCCAGTATTCTCCTTCTAGCTCTCTTTAGGTGAAAGATCTCAAGGCATGAATGTTTTAGAGATTGCAATGAATGCATGTTTGTCTGGAATTTTTTGTTTTCAGTGTTGCCCGGATCACGTTTAAAAGTTTTAAAGACTATCTGGAATCCAAGATCTTGGTCTTCGACTTTGGTATCCAACAAATTTTGACGAAGCAGTATCTCAGAGAAGTCAAACCAGTTAGGACTGGACAAACTGGTTTTCAGAGGAAATAAGTTGTGACAATAAAACCAAACTGTCAAGTCGCACATAGTAAAACAAAAATACTGAAACTCTTAACAGAGCTAAGATGTACTGCTGAGTTCGTTGACCCATATTTCACAGATTAATTGCATCATTAAAACAAAAATTATGATTTAAACATCTTTCTAACATTCTCCAATTTTGTAATATATACATCACAGGAAGGTAATTTTTTTTAATTAAAGAGGCCGTAAATACACTTTAATAACTGCTGGCCTAAAGGTTGACAAATGACCCTAATTAAGAGAAAACAAAACAAATTAGAGTGCATGATATTTAGATAGATACATGTGCTTCCAGTGCACATCTACATGAACAGGTGTGCCTGAGCAGCATGCTCAGGTAGCTGATACATTACGGTTTTCTGCTCACATCTTTCTCTGGGAATTCAGTTGTCACTTATCAAAGTAAATCTAATTAAACACAGGCTTAAAACGTGCACCCTCTCCATTCTGCTCATCTTTTGTCCAATTTTCTATCAATAGTGTTGCCACTGATCCAGTGGTAATGCGTTGCCTCCTCTGCACTCACACACAATGCCAGGAGGTCTTTGCTTGATGTTCTATGTAGGACAAGTCGTAGTGTGTCTGAGGTAATAAATGAGCAAGATGAATGTGGGGGATATGTTCATTTGAAAGCTCTTGTCACTGAGGGTTTGTCGTCCGGCTGCACAAAGGGTAGAACCTTCCTGCCTGATTTACTTTAGATTCAAACCATGGCTAAATTGGAAATCGTGAATCACTCTGACACCATTGGCATAAGATGGATTAGTTCAGTTAAAGGCTGTCTTTTCTTTACTTTGGATCTTTTTAAAGAAATCATACAAAAATTAATTTTTCTGACAGACGGCTGACCCGGCCAGCCACTGAAAGGAATAGCAAAGGGAGGCCGGCACTGAGGCACTACAAAGCTGGTTTTATCAGCACGGCACTATCCCAACCACATCCAAAAGCTCTCAGCAGCACAATGAGCCTGGCTGAATATTTGATCAACTGTCTCAGGTTTAACAAGCCTTGCCAAACTACACCTGCCTGGAGGAAAAAGATATGCCTTTGAGCAGGGCAATGCCTCCCCCAAGATGTTAAGGAAATAAGCGTTTGATGTTCACAACAACCGAGCACTAAGCTCATCCATTCTTGAGCACTTGGATTCTCAGCAAGGTTCAAGATTTGCATTTACTGAACAATAGTTTTCTGAATGCCAACAATGTCTTCCATTGTAGCCCCAGCCATAAATTACGAAACAATGCACTCAACGAGGAACTACTGTACCCGTAATGTTGCTTTTACAGGTTGGAGTCAGTAAAACATTGTATAACTTTGCTTCTTGCCAAATGTCATACAACAGATGTTTCTTGCTTATGCCTCTGGAATCTCTCCCACAAATAAAATCAGAGATAATCCTCTTGTAAGAAAGTGTAAATTTATGTGCTTTTGCTATATCTCTGAATAAGCATGTGTGTGTACTCAGTCACATCGTGGGGACTGTTGGTGACAAAAAGCAGAAGCCCAGTGTTAAATTAAAGTAGATGTACCTGTAAATAAGGTTACGGTGTGTCTGTGGGAAAAAGAATTAAAGTCAGCGTAATTCTGTGTGTGTGTGTGTGTGTGTGTGTTTCTGTACGTGTGTATCCCCAAACTTATAGTTGCTGGCTGCAGCTCATTGCCCTGCAGTAATATCAGGCCTTACAGACACCTGGGACCAGTGGTGTGGTCTCTCAGAAGAGGCTGGCAACTGGCCCTGATTACTTTCTCCACTCTCTGGAACTCAACTCTGTGTATGCCATTAACAAGCTCCACGTGGTATAATCCCAACTCGACCATACCATTAAACCTCTACACAAAAGCTAGTTTACAAACACAGGCACACACACACACACACACACACACACACACACACACACTGCACAACTTAACCATCAGTCCACTGAAACCTCTACCACCTGCAGACCAACGTTTTCCATAACCTCTCCTTTGAGAGCAGAGCCTGCACAGCGGAAACTGTGAAGCAACGGTGACATCTAGTGGCCAAATTACTGTGTAAAACAAAAAGTTGTAGATTTGTTTTTGCTGCTCTGCCCAAAGACCGAGTAGAATTATTTGACTGTTAGTTGCTTTCCCTTCCTTTTATAAAAACGCTATATTTTTATTTCATTGCTTGTGTTATTCATATTTATCATTTACGTGTACACAACTAGATGCTAAAAATGTCATAGCTCAGTTAGGGACAAGCTTTTTCAGGATACTTTTTATTATCTTCTTGTGTTCAATTCTACATGTTTACACTATTCAAATTATATAATTTATACAATGTAGTATTTTATTCATTTGCTTTATAATAGTGCATTTAATAACCTGTAAATAACTACAAGTCTACACGTTTACATATGTCAAAAACACAGAAGTATTCATATATATATGTGTGCATATATGAATAAGCATATGTATGTAGATATGTGTGCGTGCATATAAAGAGTTCTGTGAATAAGTATTTGCCCCCTTCCTGATTTTGTTTCAGTTTTATTGACCACACCCAGATCCCATTGCTAGACCTGCTGAATCAAGAAATCGCTTAAACAGAATCTGTCTGACACAGTGAATTAAACTAAAAGATGTCTGCATGCATGCAACAAGTCATGACATCATATAAAGAAACTCAGAAAGAACAGAGGAATGAAGTCAGTGACATTTATCAGTCTGGAAAGGGTTACAAAGGCTTTGGACCCCATAAAACCATGATGAGAGTCGTTATCCACAAATGGAGAAAACTTGGGACAGTAGTGAAGCTCCACGTGCGTATGCTGGTCACTTCCCAGGAGTTACCAGTATACCAAAATTACTCCAAGAGTAATTTAAGACTCATCCAGGAGCTCACAAAGCCAGAACAACATCTAATAAACTGCAGGCCACACTGAGAAGGAGAGTGAGCAAAAAATAGTTTCACATTTGCCAAAAAAAACCTCCAAAACATCTTGATGATCCCCATGACTTTTGGGAAAATATTTTGTAGATTGATGAGACAAAGGTTGAACTTTTTTCTCATCTTGGCCTTCCAATTGGGGTCTGGGATGCGGGGCGTCCCTGCTACTGTGAGGCCGGGGGCAGTCTGCTTGTCTTCAGCCCAAGGAATAGGGTGGCATCTCCTGGGTCTGGGTGTGGTTTCCAAATGTTTGAGCACACTACGTTTATGGTCGATTGCTTTTTTTCCCACATGTTCAACTCTAATTTCGTCATGCTTGCATAATGATTTAATTTTGACTCACAATACTATCCCGGGACCACGAGGGGGCGCCGTGTCCTATTTATTTAATTTGTCCTATCAACAATCATCCCATTGCCTACAACCATTAAAAGACGTATATTTGGATCATGACAATATATTTCTGTTTTGTAATAGAAAAAAAAACCTATGGCGAGACATTGCCTCTGTACAATATTAAACTATTAAAAATACACACGCATATATTGAATAAAGTGAATATATATATATATATATATATATATATATTTGCACGTTTATATGGTTATAACCATATAAACGTGCAAATACTCAGGAAAAAAGGAAATTAACTAAAATGTGGAGACAAAATATTTCATAGATCAGTTTTACCTGTAATCACAGTTTCATAACATATAATCGTACTGACTTTGGTTTGGTGTCATTTTCCGATTTTAGCTCTAGACTGACTGGAAAAACAAATAAGCTCTATTTTTAGACGCTATACAGTAAGAGTGCTGTGAGGTCGGGCTTATTGCGCATTGCCTAAAGGGGACACAGCAACTAGAAACATGAGCTATTTGATACTCTTTGTGATATTTTAGACTTTCTTTCTTCTTGCTGCTCAAAAATGGAAAAAAAGAAAAAAAAAACTTGAATACTACAGTGAGTGAGTGGCAGCCAGCGGAAACAGGCACACCTTATCGTATCTCTCTTATATTCAAATGTTTTCATGGCTGTGCATGCACGCGCCTGGAGGAAGAGGAGAAGAAATAATTTCCAAGAGGGCGGTGCTATTGTATGAAGTAGGAACAGCGTCAAAGTTAAGAGTGCTTCCAAACATTAACTCGAACTTTAAGTGGCCTCTGCTGTTAAATAGAACAGAAGGAAACCGAGCAGGTAAGATGACGGCTCGCCTCTGCGGTGAGATTTGTTGACTGTAATGTGATCTGTCGATCGGGCTTAGCGGGGGAAATGTCCCGTTAGTAGCACGGCTAACTGAGCTCTTACCTGTGCCAGGTAAAGTCGGCGTGTACAGTACAGGTAGAGGTACACTTTTCTGCCTTGTTTGTTTATTTGTGTGTAACATGGGCTATCGAAGAGTAGCCTACGTTACACAGAGCAGGGCAGGACTACTTTCTGATCTGCTGACTTGCGTAAAAAGAAAATGAGTAAGCGATCTAACTTTACAGTAGGATATGTTGCAACAGGCCTCTTACAGCCTGTAAGAACTAACTTGACACGTCTATCAAGAATATATTAAAAATAAAAGTAATATTACTTGCTTAAAGTGCTTAATCTGGAGGCTGTCACCGTAATTTGCTATATGCAGCTGGAGAGGGTCCATTGGGCGTCAGATATGTCTTGTTTCTTTGTTTCTTTTTTTACACTATAGTTCAAAAGACTACGAGAAGAGAGGAAGGAAGCGCATTTTCAATTAAAGCAGCAGGGTGTGCCAAAATATTGGCGTTATCCTTAAGAAATGACAGGTTGAAGAAGATTAATTCAGTTTAACTTGTCTAAATGTTTAATCCATTAATCACCATACTCCACTACTTTAGTAGCCTGTATAAATCTTTAAGGAATTGGGTTTGAGGTGTCAGTTCAGGGCTAAAAATCTTGTAGGGACACCAGAGTTTTTATAAACTTCAAATATGTAAGGCTGAATTTTCTTGAAGCATACATAAAACAAATTACAGAATATTGAGGTATGTAATTAATGGGTTAGTGCGGCCACTGAAATGTGTATTATCATGTTTTATTTTACTCTTTGTAAAATTTCAGACTATATGAGCTACAACTCCTTTAGTAACTAATGGAATATCATATTTTTTTTCACCCAGGCCAAGTTGATATAATTCACCTTCTATGCTCCTGAAAAAAAGAGGCTCAGATGCTTCAGGATGGACGAGGCTCTTCCCAGCCTGAGCTCAGTTTCAGACTCTCTGGAAGCAGACAGTGAGGAGTTCCAGCTCAGAGTGGACTTCTTCAGGAAGTTGGGTTACACCCCATCAGAGGTCATGGCTGCTTTGAGGAAACTGGGCTTAAGCACAGACACTAATGCGGTGCTAGGAGAGCTCGTTAGGAACAGAACCCGCAGTGTACCTTGCATTTTCAGCTCTGACAGTGACGAGAGGAGCACACGCCAAAACGACTCCCTGCAGCCTCCCAGTTGGGCTCTTGGGTCCTGCAAAAACACAACGCAGCTGTGGGACCAAAACAAACCGGACGAAGAATTGAGGCCTGTTGTTATTGACGGCAGCAATGTTGCCATGAGGTAATCCTGATGATACTTCCTGCTCTGTAGATTATCAGATTAAATCATAATCCATGAATGTCACAGCTGCTATGAACACTTTCTGAATAAGGACAGTTATTTTTCAAAGTCTTATTAAAGTCTGTATTTTCCTACAATGTCGTGTGACTTGACTTTTTAAAGGAGGTGTTGACTGCACTGCCCGTGCATGTTTTAGCATGGACCGCTGAGACATTATGCAAATTCTAGATCCTCTACTCAGAATCCCCACCTTTTACCAGAAATTATGTGCAATATGTGACTTTCGGACTGGGTAATAGCCAGAGGGAAGATTCCTTCTAAGCAGCATTTGAAGACGTGGTGTTTACTCAGATCAGTGGAATTTGTTAAGCCTCCTTTTGACTATGAATTAGATTAGATTATTTTCGGTCAGATTAACTGAATCCATGTTATCTCTTATGCTTCTTTTTTTTTTTTTTTACAGTCATGGCAACAAGGAAGTATTCTCATGCCAAGGGATTCAGCTGGCGGTGAACTTCTTCCTTGACAGAGGTCATACTAGCATTACTGTGTTCGTTCCCAGCTGGCGCAAAGAGCTGCCCAGAGCTGATGCTCCCCTGACAGGTGAGGATGGCAGAAATAAAGGAAAGCAGACAGATGTTTCCCATCAAGTAGACAGGACAAATTTCAGCCTAACATCCCTGTGAGGCGAAGTTAAATGAGGTTAATACTGGTGACACAAAAAGCAGTTTTCACACGGGGTGTGAATGACAAATAAGGTTTGATTCAAACAGAAATGTATCTGATATTATTTTCATGCTGGATGTTAGCACGACCATAAAGATGGAATTAGATCCTTAAGACTGACTAATTGCTGGGGGGAAAAAACAAATGTGATGGGGAGCAATAGCTGAGTTCCTGTCTATATCACATGTGTGCATCGCTGACAAAATATTTTGATGTGCTTGTGTTCTCTTTGAATCCAGGCCAATAAAGAACAGGTTTTGTATGTGTAAAAAGGCGTCCATTGTAAGCTGTCAATGAAAGAAGTTCTTAGAATTGAAAATTCGTTGACTGCTTTTAGCAGTCAGTCTGGTTCTACCATCTGCTAATTTTCCCATTATTGGTTAGTTTAATGTTAGAGAAGACTAAAAGTTTATATTTTAGTCTCCTGGCAGCAGGCAAGACCAGTGAATCCAGGAGAATGAGAACCACACCTTTTGAACTGTCAGATAAGACAAAAAATTCCCCTCCAGGCTCAGTGTGTGGCATATGCAATGGTTACAACATAAGCTGATCACTTCTGTTAAATTGCCGACTATGTTAGCCTCTTAAAGTTTCAGTTTCTGTACAATGAGATAATATCTGCAGGGCATATCCTGCCATAACCACACTGTAATCAGAATGTTTAGCCATAGATTTAGAATAAAAAGTAGCTAAAATGGATATAAATCACTAAAGATGTTCTTAAATGGTAGCCTGGTTGTTTTACTCAAGAAGGTAACAAATTCTTACTGATAAGGAACTGAAACAAATGAAATAAGCCCACACAACTATTGTAACAGAGAGGTTGCCATTTATTCTAGTTTTTGCATACAAGTTGTGCTAAGATGATATTTCTTTTCTTCCCCCACTCACGCTTTTTTCTTTGTTAGTACAGAAACAAATACCGTATTATACAGTGAGTTTTAGAAGTGATTTTTTTAAGCAAGAAATGAAAACTTAGAAATTCTATCACATAATTCTGTATTCATTAATAATTCCCACATGAGCCAGGAGATATTACAGGAAAACTAATGCATCTATGCAAAAAAAGTTAAGGTTGTGAAACAGGGTATTATTTAGTTGGCCAGCATAAAATATTTCCATACCAGGCCATGGCAAGAGAAAGTGGAAATACACTTAAATAAGTCACTCTGACTGTTTTTGGGTGGTTACAATATTGTAATCACAGACAGTCGTGTATAATAGAGCTCTAAATTTATCTCAACTGATTCACTTATGTCCGTGTATTTATAAAGCCCAGATTAATATAATGTCAGTGTATCTTTGTGTAAATATTACCACCTGCAGCACAACAACTAAATAAAAAGGATGGCACATCCTGGAGCATGAGCCTCTTGTTGCTCTCAAGAATTAATAGCTGTGCAGCCTGGGTGGAGCAATCCAAAGGTTCTTTTTTCAATCTTTGAACAAGGAAGTAAAAATCACCCTGTAGTTACTCGTGGGAAAGTCCCATCGGGAAGTAGAGATGGGGATTTTTTTTGTTTTGTTTTTTTTGTGTTGTTTTTTTTGTGTTGTTTTTTTTTTCCACACCTACTGTACTTGATGTTGTAGTTAACTACTGGTATCTATTTACAGTAAGTTGTTAGGTTTTGACAGAAGTAAGAAAGGTGCTTTTCTATCACATAAGGTTTTCTATCTTTTGTTCATCACACAGAGTTCAAGGTTCATTTCACTTACCCTTAACTTGTTTTGAAGCACTATCAGTGTGTGTGTGTGTGTGTGTGTGTGTGTGTGTGTGTGTGTGTGTGTGTGTGTGTGTGTTTGCGTGTGTGTGTGTGTTTGCGTGTGTGTGTGTGTCTTTGTCGTGCATTTATTCACTCAGCTTGCACATAGCATGATCTAGAGTAATCTTAAGCTACCCCTCATTTCCTTATGTTCTAATTCCAAAAATTCAGTGGTCTTGAGCAATCATTCTCCAAGGTTTATGAAGGTTTTTCAAAGTTTTTCTCTAGAAATTGTCTGCTTTTTTGCTCATTTTCAGTCCACTATTTTTCCACTAACAAGTAGATTCCCAAGAGGTATTAGCAGAAAATGTGGCATATCTTTGCATCTTTGCAGCATGTCTTTAAATTCTAAGAACCTAGACAACAGAAGACAAAAGGAGAAGTGTCAGGCCTAAAAAAAAATCTAAAGCACGCAAAGTATATCTGAAAGTCGTGTCTTTAAGAAATAGGAAAAAACCCAGATCTGACACAGGCCCAGAGAGATGCATCTACTGTTCACTGAAGCCTCGTCAGAAATGGTTTCAGTGAAATGGTGGCTGTCAAAAACCATTCTTAAGGAAACGAAACGGGGAGAAAAGGCTGAGGTATGCCAAAATACACAATACCTGGACTGAAAATCAGTGGCAACAGGTCTTATGGAGTGATGAATCCTGTTAGAATTTTTGGTTCTGTTCAGAAGAGATCAGGAGAAAGGTACAACAGTACATGTCTGCAGCCATCTGTAAAACATGGTGCAGGCTCTGTCATGGCTTTGGCCTGCATTTCATCCAGTGCTTTGTGGAAGTATGAACATAGAAAAGTGCTGTCAGAATTTTGATCCACCATCAATACCATCCCAGAGGTGTCTGATTGGCAGCAGCTTCATGTTTCAGCATGACAGTGATTCATAACACATTACCAAGTTTGTAAAGAAATACCTGGATAGAAAAGAAAAAAATACAATGACCTCCCCAGGCCTAGAAATTCAATTCAATTTTAGTTTTATTTATATAGTACCAAATTACAACAACAATTGTCTCAAGGCACTGAAATCAGCATTATGGAAGCAGTGTGGGATGATTTTCACAGAGAAGGGAACAAAAGGCTGTCAACATCCAATAAAGAGCTTATTGGATGTTGGCAGCTTTTAAAAAGCCTGGAGAACTATTCCTGAAGACTACATAAAGAAATGACAAGAAAGCTTGCCTGAGAGAGTTGAAGCTCTTTCAAAGAATAAAGGCAAATATTAACTTTCAACCTTGTTAAAATTGTACAAACTTTGTTTTCACCTTGTGGTTTGGCTTGCATCTTTCAATAAATCCACATCTTTTTAATGTGTCACAGTACAGTTGAATACACGAAATCATTTAATACAGCGTAAAACATCAACTCTGGATCTGTAACTGATTACTGGTTGCACTTTCAGATCAACACATTCTACTGGAGCTTGAAAAAAGAAAAATCGTTGTCTTTACTCCATCACGCCGTGTTGGGGGCAAGCGAGTGGTTTGCTATGATGACCGCTTTATTATCAAATTGGCGTATGAGTCCGATGGAATAATCGTATCCAACGACACCTACCGAGACCTCCAAGCAGAAAGACCTGAGTGGAAGAAATGCATTGAAGAGAGGCTGCTCATGTACTCCTTTGTGAATGACAAGTAAGCCTGTTCTTCTGTATGAACCTGTGAGATACCACATTTTCCTTCCGTGGTGAATTTTCCAGAAAAAGAATTTGCAGCTTACAGCAGAGTTGTACAAGTGGATGAAGAACTCTACAATTTTTGTGTTTTTCTACAGGTTCATGCCCCCAGATGACCCTTTGGGTCGCCACGGCCCCAGCCTTGACAACTTCCTTCGGAAAAAGCCTCGTCCTACGGAGCAAAAGAGACAACTCTGTCCATACGGTAGGTACGATTAGCATATCGATCAGGAAGTGTTACCCTCTTCTGCAGCAGAGAATGTGCTGTCCAAATTAGATCTCATCAACAAAAAATCTTTTTGCTTGTGTGTGTTATTTTTCTCCATCACAGAAAAAAAGTGTACGTATGGCATAAAGTGTAAGTTCTACCATCCTGAGCGGGTAAACCAACCCTATCTGTCTTTGGCTGATGAACTGAGAGAGAAAGCCCAGATTTCTACTTTAAAAGAAGAGAGAAATGCCAGATTGTCACCCAGACAGCTTCAGTCTGATCCCGCACTTGCTCAAAATGCCTATTTTCATCCTCGAGACTCCAACAAAGAGCTCAAAAGAGATCAGCAGACTGCCTCACCCCCTTCTCAGGTTAGTGAAAATAAGCTGCTGTACTGGGAGGATCCTAGACACAATCCAAATCACATGCCGTGTTCTGTAACAGGAACCCAGTGTCAGAAAGAGTGGCCTGGGTTGCACTTGATGCCAAATCATTACTATGCCAACATGTCTCAAGAGTACCTGGATTCAGGCCTCGGCTCTTTTGAGAGTCAGTACTCTGATATTTCGCATTCCCTCTGCAACTCAAAGAAGCTCAGGCCGCAGTATCAGAGTGCTCCTCCTGGAGCCACAAATTCTCTCGTACAATTAGAGAAAAATAACATCAATCAGCCTTGCAAGTGCTGTTCTCATGCAGTGCCCTCAACAGTTCACCAGCAATTTCATGGAAACATGGACTCTCAGGCACAACCCCAATACAGCGCCTATCACCCAAATGCCCTCACACCCACTGCTTCTCACCAGCACAGTCTCCCCAGCCATTTCCAGTACAGTGGAGGCACCCATGTTCAGCAACATTACTGGTCAGATCCCTTTCAGGGGTTACCACAAGCCAGCAGACCAAACAGCCTCCCTTCTTCAATTCGTTCTTCACACTACCACAATTCTTGTTGCTCTAGCAACAGTCATCTGTACTATTCAAGGGGACAACAACCATCTTCTGCTGCACTTGACACACAAAGGTTAGAACTCCGCAACAAGCTCAAAACTATCTTCAACCCACATCTGGTGGATACTGTCATGGAAATGTTTCCAAATCTGATGAATGCTGAGAAACTAGCTGCAGAGATACTGAAGCTGAAAGCCCAAAGAGATCTTTTCTGATTATTCTTCTTTCAGACCTGTCATTACTACTTGCCTTGACCTCAATAGCATCCTTATCACCTTTTCAGAAGGTCGCATAGTGCCTATAGCTGAGTCATTTAAAAACAAATTCTGTGCAATGTGCTATTATACTGTAAAAATGAAACATTTTGTTTTATTTATGAATGATTTAGTTAATCTGTTATAGGTTATATATATATTTTATGACACTGGAGTCATATGTCTTTGTCATCCATGTTTTGGATAAAAAGTGCCTCTAGATGGAAAACGGTTACATTTATGCATATTTGTTTATGCATATTGCATCAAAGTTAATTAGTTTTAAGTTCTCATGAAATAACCTGTTGCTACTATGTGCTACTTTTAATCTTAGTTCTTCAGAAACAGCCTGCAGACAAGTATTATCCTTTCAAGGGACATTTGCAGTATACTAAAAAACACTGGCAGTCAGTCCAGAAAAGTAGGCTTCCAAATATTATTAAAAGAAAGTAGCTGAGATACCACAACAAAAATGAAACGCTAATTATGTAGGTGAGCTATAAAAACCTTTATGAACTATAGATACAGCCACCATGACATAACCCACTGGTTTGGGAAGTCCCTTTTTGAGAGCATTTTTGCTGTTGCTATCTTGCTTTTGTTTTTGTTTTTTAAACAAACATGACAAGTGAGGACAGAGAAAATGAGGACACCAAACGCTCATGCAATGGTAACCTGTCACACAAGTTACACAGAAGGTATTTTCAGCTGCTTTCTTATCACCACAGTAGATAGATCTGCATGTTTGACCTTCCTGATGTAACCAGTACTAGGAGTGCATTTACCCTGTGAGCTTGGCTTTATGTCTCCTCTCCATCTCAGGCCAGAGAGCTTTTACATGTAAGGGTAACATGTTAACCTCAGAGCTACATCCTGCTCATCTACTTCACTGTAAAGACAACACCACAAAAAGACAGCTAAATAGAACTCCTGCATGCTGTCTCTGTCATTGCTCGTATGTTTAATAAATGTTTGCATCTATCCAACCTTCAGCATTTTGGAAATTACATGTTAAATGTGCAGGCTTAAGGTCACCTCAACATAAACTGGGCGCTAAAGAGGCATTGAGTCATCCACTTTACACCTCTGTCTGAGGTTTCCAAAGTAAAGTTAATTGTTGAATTCGTTATCTGAATTTTTTCTATCGTGACTTTTGAGTTTTTGCATTAGAAAAGGCAACTGATAATGTCCTGCTGCATTTTTAAATTGTTTTTATTGGTCGGGAATTTTGTTTCTCCTTTATTAACCAGCTCAAACTTTAAACTTTCAAGAGTATTTCATCTGATATATCAATAATTTTGAAGTGTTCCTACCTGTCAGCATTTTGTTTCTGTCCTGATAAGATCTGGCATGAGAAAACCTGTAGTTGGTTACGTCACAGAGGGCATGTTTCTCTGTAGTGTAAAGTCAGTAGTTTGATTTACGGCATACGCCTCTCCAAAGAGCGACTCTGTTGCTTTTAGTTCCCCACTTCTGAAATACCTTTGGTGTCCTTGCTCTGTGAGCTTCATAAGTAAATATAAAAGTCATGTAGTCCACAAAGATAAGCTAACATTGCATGTTTTTGCCATACAGTGTAAATGCTGATCTTGCTAGGAAATTGAAACTGAACTTAAGAAATGGCTTTGACCCAAGCAAAAGGAACTTCCTGATGTGTCATCATCATTTGTTCCGTAAACCTGAATCAGCTTCATGAATCATTCTCTGAATAACTGTCCCGATTAGTGTGTGTAGGAGAGACTACAGTATAACGTATAAAAATGACAGTTATGGAATTTAGTTCTCATAAATGATTTGTATTCTCTATTCTTATATTGGACCATTAACTTCAAATGTTTAGTGTTAGAACTCATTGTAAGAATATTTAGGAAATGCATTGTCACTACCTATTAAAGTCTATTGTAATAATAATATGTGTGAAGTCTATTACAATACAAAGGGACGGGGATTAGCACTGTTGCGTGGAGAGCCAGCCAGTGGTTTAAATCCAGTTTTCTGTGTGGAATTTTCATGTTTCCTCATACCTGTGTGGGCTCTCTCTGGCTTCCTCCCACAGTCCAAAGACATGCATGTTGGTTTAATTGGTGATTCTAAATTGGCTATTGGTGTGAATGTAAGTATGATTGGCTGTCTTTGCTGGCCCTGCTGTCCACAGTGTATACCACTTTACATCCAATGAAAGATAGGATACGCTACAGCTCAACGGCGTTCATGGAATGAATTTGCAAAAGACAAAAGACAAACAGCTGGTATGGGGTTGGTGGATTAATCCCAAACTAGTTCTTCGGGTTTATTTAATTCACTTGTAAATATCCCTCTGACGTTAATCAGAGACCAAACAAGCTAACAGTGGTCCTGATTGCCTCACAGATAGAATTGCTGCCAAACTGTCCTACTCAGTTTCACAAGAAACAGCGCAGCTCGTGTTGCAAGCCTGAACGAGAAACTGTTGTTTTTTTTCCCAGTGACTGAGGGAAAGGTAAGGGTGTGTGTGTGTGTGTGTGCCTGTGTGTGTGTGCGTGTGTGTGTGTGTGTCAGTCAGTCAGTCAGTCAGTGTGTGAGAGAGCATGCTAAATACCTTTTTTGCCACTTGAACGAGGCAGACATGATTTAAAACTAACTTATATTTAAAAACAAATGTTAAATGCAATCACACTTGTGTATAATAATAGGAAAGAAAGTAGATAACTAAGATCTTGCACTTCATGCATCACCAGTCGCTGCAGATGTAATTTGTCTCACTGGGAAAAGGCCTCATATCCGTACTGATGCTTGTACAAGGTGAGAGTTGTTTTTTTATATTAAGAGTCAACTTTTCCATTTGTCTCTATATTGTCCAGGTTGCAGGGACAGATCGTTTAACTTAACTTCAAAGTCTATATGGAGTTTATTGGTTTCTCCAATGTAGCGCTCACCTTAACTCAGTTAGTTTTACACGCTAATAAGGTAATTGTGAACTAATTAATTAAACAAAATGCTGCTGTTTTAAAGCATCATGAACACTAGATTTATTATGTTAAAATAAAGGGAACCACCATTATGCTAATGCACATTGAAAACTATAACTGTTAGCATGCTAATCGCTATGGTATTGGTATTATAATTATTGTGTGCAGGGTCAGTAGCTCACATGTAGCCTCACATAGCTGCTAGCCTTCCAAAACCTCCATATGTAACCGTTCTGTGGAAATACACCAACCTTTCTCACACCCTAACTCTATGACTATATCCCTGAGAAATGTCCTTGATATTTTTAAAGTTCACAGAGTTGCAGATATTACCCAACATGTCAATTCTTTGTTATCTAATGTTGTTTTGAGAGTCGATGGCCCACTTCTGTTTCTTGGCTTTGGATTCTTTTTTTTTCTTTTTCTTTTTTTGATAATTCAAAAATCTAAACTATGCCAACTATCCAGGAGATGCAACAATAATATTTGTTTAATCAAGAAACACAGTTACCATTACCAGCTAGAGTGGGGTGTTACGGTTGAATGAATGTAAATATTTACTTTATATAACTTTACTTCTATAACTTGTGCAATGTTCGCACACATGTGTCCCATGTTTTACTTGATGTGGGGGGATTCGTGGCTCAAGATTTGGCAGTTCGTCTTGTAATCGGAAGGTTGTCGGTTCAAGCCCCGGCTCGGACAGTCTCGGTCCCCGTGTCCTTGGGCAAGACATTTTACCTGTTGCCTACTGCTGGTGGTCAGAGGGCCCGGAGGCGCCAGTGTCCAGCAGCCTCGCCTCTGTCAGTGCGCCCCAGGGTGGCTGTGGCTACAATGTAGCTTGCCATCACCAGTGTGTGAATGTGTGGATGACTAAATGTAGTGTAAAGCGCTTTGGGGTCCATAGGGACTAAGTAAAGCGCTATACAAATACAGGCCATTTACCATGATGTGTAAACAGGGAATTCGGTTAGCATACTCAAACAACCTTGGGCTTCAAAGCCTTTGTTTAAACATAGCTGTTAGCTTATCAAGAATTTTTTTTTCTTTTGACAATTTCTCTGCAACATGGAGTCACTTTGTCAGTTAAGACAAGGAACATAAAAGCTTGAGTACAGGTTGTGTTTCACAGGCCTGTAATATGATGGCCTCTTCCTTTGTCATGCTGATACCGGCTTCAAGTAATAATCTCATACCTGAAGGCTTTTAGACAAACTTGACCGTGCACTTGATATTCAGCATTTCTCTTGGCATTAGAGAAAGGGGTATTTTTTAGGAGACTTAAACTAGTTCATCAAACAATCATCAGTTACTTGGTAACACATTAACCTTCACACACCACTGTTTGTTGAACTGATGTTTTTATTGTGAATAGGAAATTGATATCGATTCACAGGCAAGATGCATGTGTAAATGTACCATTATGCTGCGGCGTCAGATTGATGATACTGTTCTGTATTCACCTGGTCCTCTAGTCGATGGCGAGCTTGGTAAGATGTATGTATTTTTGTTACTCCCATGCCATTAGTAGTTTGTGGAAAGGTACAAAAGCCCCGTATCCAGGTTTGCTGGGGAAAAAAGGAAATTAAGTTACTATTCAAACAGACTATACGTTAGAAAATCACACTTATATTTATAATTTTAATATTTTAGATGTCGCGGAGGTCGTGTGTTTGTTATTGTTGTTTTTTTGTTTTGTTTTTTTTGCAGTCTCGTAAGAAAATACTACATTTAAGTAACATTTCCAAACGCAGTCAGTCAAGTTTGTTATTGTAGGAAAGTGAGTTCACATTACAAGGTCGCACCTCATGCCTTTAATGCTGTAATTTGAGACAGCTAAGATGACCTGACAGATGCATGTGCAGCACATATACGGCATCCAGAGGATTGGAGATGCTGTAGTCCTAAAAAATACCCAACAGCCACTTCATTAGGCACACCTTGCAGTATTATGTTGGACCTTCTTTTGCCTTCGGGAATGCCTTACTTCTTCATGACATGAATTTAATAAGCTGTAAGAAATATTCTTCAGACATTTTGGTCCATATTCACAGATAGTTGCTGCATATGTGTCAGCTGCACATCCATGATGCAAGTTTTCCATTTCACCACATCCAAAACACGGTCTATTAGATTGAGATCTGGTGACTTTGGAGAACATTTGACTATAGTGAACTCATCTTCAGGTTCGGTAAACCAGTTTGAGATGATCTGAGCTGGAAGCAACCATCAGACGATGGGTAAGGCGTGGTCAGTGACATGGTCAGCCACATTTCTCAGGTAAGCTGTGGCACTTGAAAAATGCTTATGTAGTCTCTTGGTGTTGCTTCAAGGTTCAACATGTTATGTATTCAGAGATTTTTTCTTCTGCTTTCATATCATTTAATGTAAACTCTTGAGATGGCTGAAATATTGAATCATGGAATATCAAATCCATCAAAGTAAATGTATTAATACATTGTGTAATTGTGTGAAAGAATGGTGCTTAAGGTAAATACGCTTCAAAACAAATGTAAAGGTTTTAGAAGCATTTGAATTTAAATAGGTACTGAGATTATTGTAAAAAGCATTACGTAGTGCACACATCCAAATCGCAGTACATTACTAAATGTCAAGGTGCACACCCTTAGAGCAAAAACATGTACATGTTGCTTGAGTACGGCAGGTAGGAAAATGACATTGGTTACCATTCAAAGTAGCTGTGTCCCAGGTGGCTCCCATCACATAGCCCTGAATCAGGAGTTTGCAGCTCAACTCCAAGGTGGAGATCTACCTCCCCCTGCAGGTGACCGAGGAAACGAACTACTCCTGTGCTGATCCTCCCAGATGGCAGCATGATCCTGACCTGATGGCCTAGCTGTAAGTCCATCGGGGAGTGAGGAACAAAAACTCGATGTGGCCCTTGAGATTTCCTCCATGATCTCACACTGCAGAAAGAAAACTTCTCTTAGTGAATAGAAAGAACATCACACACATCGATAAATTAGGAATTATGATCCTAAAATATATTCCACGTAATGAATAAATTTGCTTTTTGAACTATATTTTGAATATACACCCTGTGCATTTCTTAAGATGGAGGATTATAACTGTTGCCGAACGATTTTTTACATAATACATTTTCAATAGGACACAGGACCTCACATGACTCTGAAATGGTCCCTGCTGTTTCCACTGTTTGCAGTTAAACTTCTGAGCATAGATA